AGATGTGACGTGCATTCTTTTTGGCTCATTATAAATGAATCTTGCTGCGGCATTCTGGATTAATTGTAAAGGTTTGGTAGAACTGGCTGGAAGACCTGCCAAGAGAGCATTGCAATAGTCCAGCCTGGACAGAACATCTTCTTTTTGATGTTGAATAAAGCAAATCTGCAGGACCGGGCAGTTTTAGCAATGTGGTCTGAGAAAGTCAGCTGATCATCAGTCATAACTCCAAGGTTTCTGGCTGTTTTTGAAGGAGTTATGGTTGATATGCTTAACTGGATGGTGAAATTGTGATAAGACGATGTGTTTGATGGAACCACAAGCAGTTCTGTCTTGGCAAGGTTGAGTTGAAGGTGATGGTCCTTCATCCAGCAAGAAATGTCTGTTAGACAAGCTGAGATGCGAGCAGCTATCGTCGGATCATCAGGATGGAATGAGAGGTAGCGTTGAGTGTCATCAGCATAGCAGTGATATGAAAAGCAATGTTTCTGAATGACAGAACCTAGTGATGCCATGTAGACAAAGAAGAGAAGTGGTCCCTGAACTGAGCCCTGAGGCACCCCAGTTAGATGTTGCGACTTGGACACCTCACCTCTCCAGGGTACCTTGAAGGACCTATCTGAGAGGTAAGACTTAAACCACTGGAGTGCGGTTCTTAAGATGCCCTTTGCCAATAGGGTTGACAGGAGGATCTGGTGGTTAACCGTGTCAAAAGCAGTGGACAGATCCAGCAAGATAAGTATTGAAGATTTAACTGAGAGAAAGGCAGTCTCGGTTGAATGTCCACTTCTGAAACCAGACTGGTTGCTGTCGAGGAGGTTGTTCTGTGTGAGAAAGGCAGAGACTTGAACACAGTTCATTCAAGTGTTTTTGCAATGAAAAGAAGAAGGGAAACCAGTCTGTAGTTCTCTAAAAGAGATGGGTTAAGGGTGGGTTTCTTAAGTAGTGTGGTTATAAGAGCCTGTCTAAATGTTGAGGGAAAAACACCAGTGTGAAGGGATGTGTTAATGATGTGAGTGAGTGCAGGTACAACGGCAGGAGAAATGGCTTGAAGGAGATGAGATGGAATAGGATCAAGCGGACAAGTAGTAGGATGATTGGAAAGGATGAGTTTGGAGACTTCTGCCTCAGAGAGTGAAGAGAAGGGTGTAAACGAGTGTATGTTTGCTGGTAAGATGTGCTTGACAGATTGTGGTGTGGAAAATTGTGCACTGATGGTTTTAATTTAATTAATGAAGAACGTGGCAAAGTTGTCAGCTGTTAGAGTTGATGAAGGAGGGGAAGGAGGAGGACAAAGGAGCGAGGAAAATGTTTTAAGGAGCATGCGGGAGTAAGACGAATTGTTAATTTTGTTATGATAGTATGTCTTTTTAGCAGTGGAGACATTAGCAGAGAAGGAAGAGAGGAGAGATTGATACATATTAAGGTCAGTGGTACGGGCTGGCCTGGAAGACAAGGGACAGACAAGTGTCTAAACAAGATCAGTAGCACTGTTAGCATCAAGAGATGCTAACTGTTTAGGGAGAGGAAGGGAAGATGAAACCATAGCAGATAGCCGAGAGGGTGAGAGTTGAGCGTAGGTTACGTAGAAAGATGACATGTGTAGGGGTATTGTGTTGTGTCAGGAACCATGTTGAGGTTAAGAGTGAGGAGGAAGTGATCCGAGGTGTGCAGTGGAATAACCAGTACATGATCAGTGGAGCAGTGTCATGTGTAAATAAGGTCCAGTTTGGTTGCCTGATTTGTGAGCCGTAGTTAACACTCTCTTGAGATCAAAAGAGGCAAGCAGAGTGTGGATGTCTGCAGCCTGAGGTTTATCTAGGTGGATGTTGAAGTCTCCAAGCGTAACTAGGGGAGTACCATCCTCAGAAAAGGTTAAGAGCAGCACATCTAATTCATCCAAGAAGTTACC